CACATGATGAGCTCGATCGTGCAGTTGCGGCGCTACGAGACGCCGTTACGTATACGGCATATGGTGATCCTGAACAGCCATTACGGCTGACCTTTCTGGGCAACCGTTTACACGAGCGCTATAAGCGTTTGGGGCGTCTCGAAGATCTTGACGATGCTGTTACAATGTTCTGTTTAGCAGTTGAGTGTACACAGGATGGCGATCCCAACAAGCTCGTAGCTCTGAGCAACTACGGCGCATCTCTGGTTGACCGTTTCGAAAGGATTGGTGATCCTGACGATATTGCGCGTTCCATCCAAGTTCTTAAAATGGCTGTAGAACGCAGTTCGGATCAGGATCCCGACAAACCGTCGCGACTGAGCAATCTGGGCAATTCATATTCACGATGTTTTGAGCGTAACGGAAATCTCGGGGATCTCGAGCAGGCTATCTGGGCACATCGCAGTGCCGTCCAGCTCACGCCGGATGGGCATCCCAACAAGCCCTCGCGGTTGAACAACCTGGGAAACTCGCTCCTCACGCGATTCGAACAGACAGGGCGCGTTGATAATCTCGAGCAGGCTATTGTGGCGCAACGCAGTGCCGTCGAGCTTACGCCTGATGGGCATCCCGACAAGCCCTCGCGATTGAACAACCTGGGCAACTCGCTCCTCACGCGATTCAAACAGACAGGGCGCGTTGACGACCTTGAACAGGCTATTGTGGCGCAACGCAGTGCCGTCGAGCTTACGTCTGATGGGCATCCCGACAAGCCGTCGCGATTGAACAACCTGGGCAACTCGCTTCTCAGGCGATTCAAACAGACAGGGCGCCTTGACGATCTTGAACAAGCTATTGTGGCGCAACGCAGTGCCGTCGAGCTCACGCCGGCTGGACATCCCGACAAGCCGTCGCAGTTGAGCAACCTGGGCAACTCGCTTCTCACGCGATTCGAACAGACAGGGCGCGTTGAGGATCTTGAACAGGCTATTGTGGCGCAACGCAGCGCTGTCGCGCTCACGCCTGCTGGGCATCCAGACAAGCCCTCGCAATTGAACAACCTGGGCAACTCGCTTCTCACGCGATTCGAACAGACAGGCAGCGTTGAGGATCTCGAACGAGCTATTGTGGCGCAGCTCGGCGCCGTCGAGCTCACGCCGGATGGGCATCCCAACAAGCCGTCGCGATTGAACAACCTAGGAGGTTCCTTGACCAGGCGCTTCGAGCGCACAGGCGAACTCCAGGACCTTGAACAGGCGATTGTGGCACGCCGTAGAGCCGTAGAGCTCACACCAGAAGGGCATCCTGAAAAGCCATCGCGATTAGACAACCTCGGGGGTTCCTTGACTGTCCGCTTCGAGCGCACAGGTGAACTCCAGGATCTTGTACAGGGAATGGTGGCCCGTCGCAGGGCTGTCGAGCTCACACCAGAAGGGCATCCTGATAAGCCGTCGCGATTGAGCAACCTCGGAGGTTCCTTGAGTAGGCTCTTTGACAAACTTAGAGAACGTGATAGTCTTGAAGAGGCTATTGCGTGTTATGAGAAGGCTGTTGAATTGACGACTGATGATCACCCCAAGAAGCCCACACTTCTCGTACATCTTGGCCAGCAGCTGGGGTGCCGCTTTGAACTTTTGCACAACCCCGCAGACCTTGCTACAGCCATTTCGGTGATCGAGCGTGCCATTGAACTTTTGCCTGATGAGCACCCAGATCTATCTCACGCTTACAAGGCCCTTGCGGCATGTTTAAGCAAACGACATGATCATTCGAAGACTGTTGGTGACATCGAGAAAGCGGTCGCACTCACGTCGAAGGTGGCGGACCTTCTGCCAAACGACGATCCTGGACTAGCTTCGACCTTGACCAACCTCGGTCTCATGCAGGAAAGACTATTCAATCAGTCTCAAACTCAGCCCGACTTTGACGCAACCATCGAGTCTTTCACTAGAGCGACGTTGCACCCTCACGGAACTCCTTCTGATCGGTTTAAAGCCGCTCTGAATCACGTAGACATGATTTCCCGGCATCTATCTTTCAGCACCGAAAACTCGCTCCTCTCAGCGCATTCGCGAGTCATTGATATCCTTCCTGAAGTCGTGTGGCTGGGCCATGATATCCAGCGTCGCTTCAAAGAGTCCTCCCAACTTGGTCATCTTATCTCTACCGCCGTGTCGGTCGCCATACCTGCTGACGCACTGACACGGGCTGTCGAATGGCTTGAAGCAGGCAGGGCTGTTATTTGGGCCCAGATCCTATCCTTACGCATGCCGCTCGACGAGCTTCAGAACCGATGCCCCGACCTCGCCGAATCCCTGCATGGCATTCAAACGCGACTACAGCTCTCTGTACATGGCACGTTCACACACGACGTTCGCACCTTCGGTGACATCCCAGACTTGACGGTCAACCCTGCAGCCGACGATCATCGTCAAGCTGCCATTGACTATGACGGGGTTTTGAAGCGGATCCGTGCTTCTCCTGGCTTCGAAAACTTCTTGCTCCCGAAGAAATATGACGCGCTCGTCCTTTTGCCAGAGCTTCAGAGTGGTCCTATCGTCTTCATTAATGTTCACCCAGATCGCTGTGACGCGATAGTACTCACCGGTGGTGGCGCGGTCGCGGTGATCCCGCTTCCCGAGTTGACGTTCGTCGGTGCGCATCTGATGCGGCTCCTCTGGGCGAAAGGACTCGCCGGCTTCCGGATTCGGAGATCTGGTATCAAGCCCAATGAACTTCCCGAGGAGTGCGATCTCGAGTGGATACCAGACTTCGAAGTCGATTCTCACCGACATAGCACACTAATTGACGACGACGAGCTTGACATCTGCGCACACGTTATGGAGTGCGCCTGGGAGTGGATTGTTGGTCCCATCTTACGTTCCCTTGACCTGGCAAGTCTGGTGAGTATCATCACGTCTACCATGGTCCGATACTGACACTCACCTAGAAACACGACGACCTCGTGCCTCATATCACTTGGTGCCCGACCGGACCACTCACGCAGATTCCTCTCCATGCTGCTGGGAAGTACAGCGAACCAGACGGCCCGCGCGCATTCGATCTCGTCGTGTCGTCGTACACTCCCTCCTTGACGGCATTAAAGCGGTGTGCTGAAGGCATTGCAAGGCAGTGGGGCGACCCGTCGTTGCTCCTCGTCACTCAACCGAATACGCCCGGGCTTTCTCCGCTTCCTGGTACCAAAGCCGAGACCCGCGTTCTTCAAAGCGCCTTGAAAGATGCTGGTGTTGCAATTGGCGCTCTCGACCATGTGAGAGCGACAGTGACGGCCGTCCGGGATGGCATGAAGCAGCACACCTGGGTGCACCTTGCCTGCCACGGGTCGCAGAACCTGAAGGATGCCACTCGGAGCGCATTCCATCTCTACAACGGCCCGTTGACCCTCGCGGACCTCATGGGAACCGCCGCTGACAACGCAGAGCTCGCGTTCCTGTCGGCTTGTGAGACTGCGGTTGGAGATGCGGAGACGCCAGAGGAGTCTGCGCACCTTGCGGCTGGCATGCTCGCGGTCGGGTACAAGGGCGTCGTCGCGACCATGTGGTCCATCATAGACGCGGACGCACCTGTTGTGGTCGACAAGTATTACAAGGAGTTGTTAGCAGTGAGAGGTTCGGGGAAGCTTGGGAAAGGGGAGACGGGCGCGGCTTATGCGCTGCATGAGGCGACGAGGGTTCTGCGGGAGAAGGTGGGGGAGGATAACTTCTTGCGATGGGTTCCGTTTGTGCACTTCGGCGTGTAACCAGATGGCGCTTCGGTTCGCGTTAGTTTCGTCTTGATGCATAGTGTCTGGACTTTTATACGTGTTCATGTAGGCTATGAGAATGAATCTCGAGATTCCGTCTTGTGTAATAGGGCTGGTGGGCTGACGCGTGCACTGGGTATCATGCACTTCTGATTTGTTCACTCGTATGAAACGAAAGTATGAGTATATCGTATTCGCGTAGGTCGTGACGCCAAAGAAAGGTGGTCGGGCTCGTGGCGGAAAGGCAACTCGCGCTTCGCGCAGCCTGCAGGGCGCGTCGCAGTCACACGGGTTCCCGTTGTCCTCCTACCATCACCTCTTCCTATCGAGGCGACGGACTATATATTTCTTTGCGTCAGCCCCCCCCTGCTTGCCGCCTCTTGAGGCATAGATTACGGTCATGCTGTGTCCCTTAGCCTTAGCGGGACCATCGTCCTGTTCGACCTCGCGCTGACACTCCTCGGCATCCGCCTCTGCAATGGCATGCCCATCATCGGCGCAAAGTACCTACCAGTGCCTCCGCGCAACGACTCGTTGTGCATGGTGTTCATCATTGTCGCCATATGGACCCTTCCAATAATGCACTATGCAATTGGGTTGTTGGTCGCGATCGGCGGTCTAGTGCACGAGCTGGCGAGCGTGCTTCGGTTCAGGAAGGGCGGCAGTATCCCGGTAGAAGGCGATCGAGGGGCGGAGAGCGTGTAAATGTTTCGGCGTATCATGGTTCGATAGTCATAATTTTTACGTATCTCAGACCTATAGTACCAGTTGTATTCGCGTACAGTTAACGGGTGCACATATAAACCATTCACATTGCACACGCTATGGTATCGCGCTGAGCCCCTTGATCGGCCTCACGATCGCCGGTACTGGTCAGAACACGCAGCAGGTACTAAGCGCTTGCCAGATGAAGACTATATGCTTAGAGGTCTGGGCGCGTACGCGTTGAAGAGCGAGCGTCTTCCGGACCGCGCGTTGATGGGCACTTGAGGCGATTTCAGGTATCTGCCTGTTGCCGTCATGGCATTCGACTGCCTCCCGTGCACATCCTGTATTGAGCGTGATACTCCGCCGAGACCTCCTCAGAGAGCTATATGAACCCTAGTATCTCGAGACCAGCGTTCCCCTGCATGTCGTGCCCTACGCGTATACCGCCTACACATTTGCCGGGAGTTGGGACCCGCGCCCTGTGAGCCTCCTCCTCTCCTCTCCAGTCTGACACGCTCGCTTACTTGGCTCTAGGACTACTAGCCATCAACATCTGGCTCTTTACACCATGTAAGACTCATCCGCCGAGGACATTGAGCTCAGAGACGAGGCGTATGCCGTGGAGGCGTCCCTTTAACGTGTGGCCACAACTGGGCCGCTACGCCCCACGCCGCGCACTACAGACCCTCCTCACCATATCCACCCTTCTTCTCGCGGTAGCGGTTTGCGCTGCTATTTGGGCGTCAACAGGTCGGAGGACGAGCTTAGCGGAGGTGAGGGTGCAGGTTGTCAGGCGAAGGACCTTCGATTTGCGCTCCGGTACGTCTTATTTCGGATACGAGGGAGACTTGGTCGCTGATACCCATACAATAGCTATTACGAGGCTCTAACAGCTCCAGCTCAGAACCTCGAGCACCAAAGTGTACGGATAGGACCACCGCATGAAGCCATCCCCTGTTTTGGGTCATTGCTCATGGTCATGGTACGTGTGCCAGGGATATGAATGATATGTCGATACTCATACGTATATGTAGATCGTCACTATCTACACCTCAGATTCATGTACCATTCTATGCAATACCAGTAACTGTTCGAGGTCCGTGTACCCTATGCTGCTGGTCGGAGGAGTTGAAGGAGGGAGGGGAGGTGCGGATGCAAGAGAGGCAGGGGTCGAGCGCGGCGTGGAATGCGTCGGACCATGAGAACGTGCCGCCATTGCAGGGGTCGTATGTGCGGGCCGTCTAGGATGGAGGCGGACGCGTAGGAGGATGTGTCCGAGGGGGACGCGGTATTCGGAGCGGAATCGCATGAGGAAATCAGCTTTGATCGCCGCGCGCCGCGCGAGCGCGAGTTTGCCTTCTGCCACCACCTTGCTCGCGCGGCGTAGCAATACAGTACCTTCATCCGTCAACCTCCTACGATGATATTTGTTGTGATACATGCGGAACGACTATCCAAAAATGCGCGCTCACGCTCGTTCATCTACCTCGTCCACACCTTTACGTCGAGCACACCTACCGTAACCTTCGGCCTTGAAAATTTAAGACCAGTCGTCATCGGGCGTCACGATCTCAAGATGACTCGGCTTCACAGTACAGCTGATGTCGCCATTGAGCCTCGGCTTCCATCGATACCCGACACCCGAGTAGTCAACCAGCGCTTCTACGATCTCCTGCGCCGCTCTCGCAAGAGCATCTAACGATCCTCGCTCTTGCATTCTCTACGACAGGATGTTCAAAGCAACCTGAGCGCGTTGAAGCCACGGCGCGTAGACATGCCTCTCTGGCCGGGTGGAAGAATACCTCGCAGAGGTCGAACCGTACGCGCCGTGTCGTGGCTGAGACGACGGGCATCGAAAAAAGCACGACGTCGAGTGCAGAATCCGGTCCTCGTCGTCACAGTAGCTCGACAGCCAGAAGACAGTCGCCGTACCCGAGATCAAGGCTTCTGTGCAGCTCTATGCCCGTGCAGCTAAAGCTAGCTCTGATGCGGTGCGTGCTCTGTCGAGGGCACGGCTACACCGAGCTGACCACATTCACATAGGTCGAGAATCATACATGCAATTGATGGCCTCTGCGACATGGAACAAGCGCGTCGATGAATACGGTGGCTCGCTCGGAAATCACTCACGCTGCTCGTTGTACCGATCAGCCCTGCACATTCATTCCTGAAGCCGGCCGCGCACGGGTACCCGCTCGCACTTCGACTTGATCCGGATCCCACTCGCGCTCAGCCGGCCATCTATTGCCCACATCTCCTCGATATCTCGTGCACCCGGTGGCCTTCTCGTTCTCATCCGCGCTCGGGAATACGCGCCACGCTAAGTTAGGATATGAGACGCTTGATGGCCGCAGCCCTGCGGAGTGCCCATCAGCACTTATAGAGATGCGTGGTAGGTCGGAGGAAGAGCTTGAGGCTTGAGGAGGTGGAGAATGTAGAGGTTCGCCGGGGGAAGTGGTCGTGTAGCGCGCGGTGACTGGTGCGTGCTCTGTCGTCCTGTATCATGTGCGGACGCTGATACGCTCGCATACAGCATTGGGCATGCGGACTACTTGTGGACGTTACGCCTTGACTCCGAAGGCCGGGTCCACCTACTCCGCACCTTCCAGGACCCTCTCGCGCTCCAAACATGGTTCACGGCCATGCTGGCTCCATCGACCTCGGCGCTCGCGCATCCTACTCTGTTCAACGCAAGACGGGCGGGCCTGCGCCTTGGCCATCCAAAACAGTCTAGGTGAAGTATAGGCGTACTGCATGGCCCGACAGGCCATACCCACTCGACGATAATCCGACGACGTTGAGGTCAGAAGTGCATTCAGGATATGCACGTACCCCCCTATACACAGAGGACAAGTACACAAGCGCTGCACGGACAAGGTTCCAGGGGTGACGGGTCCGTGTAGATCGGAGTGAGAATCGCCGGGGGCTCAAGAAGACGCGAATGGTCGACGTGGTTGTTTCTCCAGGGAGTACGACCGATCTCTGCGTGTAGCCCGCGTACTGGTGTACACGGTTTGTTCTCAATAGCATGTACTGTCGTGACCGCTGCCGCGCGTCAGTGGTCCTTCTCCCAAGCTTCTCCTCCATACCTGATCACTGTGCAAATCTCCGTGCGCAAGACACGGCATGAGTATGGCATAGCCAATCAAACGCCCTCACCAAGCCCGATTTCCTGAAGACACAAGTTGCGGTATACCGCCATTCATCGCAAATTAAGGTGAGTAGGAACGCGGGAAGGACAAGTTCGATTCCGCATACGACATCTGTGCGGGCGCAAATGTACGGCGCTTATTGTACGGAACTTGAATGCATAAAAGCTGTGCCTTCTGCCCGAGCATCCTCGAAGCATCGAACATACAGCTCTACAGAGCTTGAGAGATGGAACACCGAAGCGCTATGAGCCCGCCGGAAGCCATACATAGGCGCTCTAGAGGTATTATATTCCCTTCTTTATTCTTGACATGCCTAGTAGTATGCCTAGTAGAGGCAATCGATAACGTAGTACAGTCAATGAGATGTGACCGACTCGCTCGGGGCTCACAGTCCATAAGTATTGCACAGCGCAGGTGCTGGCCGCGGATATCCTCTGCTAGTGTTTCCGGTCCGAGTTTCCGAACCGCTGACACGCGCGAAGCCGCGGCGGCGGCGACCTTGTCCTTACCCTCCATCATCGGAAGGACAAACTTCCTATGTAATAACATCGTGCTTATCGTTACTGCGATGATCTCTACGTGAAATGGGACGACGGCAGCGTCTATTCCTTGGTGTTTTTTCAAGTCCGAAGTGGTCGGACTCGGAATGCACGCCTGGCATAGAAGCGATCGGAAGTATTCAACTACAGATGCTAAGCGATCGCGAACCTGCCAGCGCCTGCGCTTCTCCTTCGATTCCCTCATACGACCTCGCATTTCACCGCCTTTGCCGCCTCGCCAACACATGCCAGGGATGATATGAAGATAGCGAAGCGCTCTGCCATTTGACATCTTGTGTATATAGCCACAACACCAAGCAACATCATCATCTACTCCCACCGCTCATTCTTGCTCCGTTATTTTCATTCGCCTTCATCATGGCACGTGCTTCATCGACTATGTATTTACGTTCAGATGCTGAATGCGCTCAAGTCCTGTGACGAACTACCTGGTCTCTCGGTGAGTACTCCAACTGCACCCAACATGGCTGCGGTGTTGAACGAGAATACTATAGGTCGCATTTCATGCGCTCTCCGATGCGCAGTGGAGACTTTACCGTAGTACCCGGAACCTCGCTGACCTTGACGCGGCGATTACTACCACACAGATTGCCATTGATCTGGCCGTTGAACTCGGACCGAGCTCTGCCGATCTTCTATTTGACTTCGGAGTTCGGCTCTATACCCGTTTTGAGATAAATAACTCTCTTGATGACCTCGATCGTGCAATCACGCAGCTACAAGACGCTGTTATGTTTACTTCGGATGCTGATATTGTACAGCCATCACGTCTGACGGTTCTCGGCCGTTGTCTACGCGAGCGCTACAAGCACCTAGGCCATCTCGAGGATATTAACGATGCTGTCACGATGTACTGTTTAGCAGTTGAGGGTGCTCAAGATGACGATCTCAACAGGCTTTTGCTTCTAAGCAACTATGGTGCATCTCTACTCGAACGTTTTGAGAGGATAGATGATCCTGAGGATATTGCGCGCTCCATCCAAGTACTCAAAACGGCTGTGGATGGCAGCTCGGATCAGGATCCCGCCAAACTGTCGCGACTGAGCAATCTGGGCGTTTCATATATGCTATATTTCAAGCGTAATGGGAATCTCGAGAATCTAGAACAGGGTATCGTCGCGCATCGCAGTGCTGTCCAGCTCATGCCGGAAACGCATCCCGACAAGCCGTCGCTATTGACCAACCTAGGCCTCTCACTTCTCACACGATATGAACAGACAGGGGGGGTTGAGGATCTTGAGCAGGCTATCGTGGCACAATGCAGCGCCGCTGAGCTCTCGCCGGATGGGCATCCCGACAAGCCTTCGCGATTGAACAATCTGGGCAGTTCCTTGACCAGGCGTTTTGAACGTACAGGTGAACTCGAGGATATTGAACAGGCGATTGTGGCCCGTCGCAGGGCCGTCGAGCTCACGCCTAATGTGCATCCCGACAAGCCCTCGCGATTGAGCAACCTGGGTAACTCGCTTCTCAAGCGATTTGATCAGACAGGGAGAGTCGAGGATCTCGAACAGGCTATTGTGGTGCAACGCAGCGCTGTCGAGCTCACGCCAAATGAGCATCCTGACAATCCCTCGCTACTAAGTAATCTGGGAGGTTCATTGACTAGGAACTTCCGACAGACGGGCGAAATCGAGAACCTTGAACAGGCAATTGTGGCCCGTCGCAGGGCCGTCGAGCTCACGCCTAATGTGCATCCCGACAAGCCCTCGCGATTGAGCAACCTGGGTAACTCGCTTCTCGCGCGATTTGAACAGACAGGGAGAGTCGAAGATCTCGAACAGGCTATTGCGGCGCAGCGTAGTGCCGTCGAGCTCACGCCGGATGGACATCCCGATAAGCCGTCCCGATTGAGCAACCTAGGAGGTTCACTGACCAGGCGCCTCGAGCGCACAGGCGAACGTGATGATCTCGAGGAGGCTATCGTCGGGCATCGCAGCGCTTTGCGGCTCACACCAGATGGGCATCCTGACAAACCGTCACTATGGAATAACCTGAGCACTTCGCTTCTTACGCGATTTGAACAGACAGGTGAACTCCAGGGCCTTGAAGAAGCTGTTATGGTACAACGCGAGGCCGTTGCGCTCACTCCGGATGCACACCCCAATCGGCCATCGCAGTTGTGCAACCTGGCAGGATCCCTGACCTTACGCTTCGAGCGCACGGGCGAGCTCCATGACCTTGAACAAGCTATTGTAGTACAACGCAGGGCTGTCAGGCTCACGCCCCATGGACATCCCGACAGGGCATCACAACTGAATAACCTCGGGGGTCTCTTAAGTAGACTCTTTGAGAAGCTCGGAAAACGCGATAGTCTTGAAGAGTCCATCATGTGTATTCAAAAGGCTATCGAACTGACGGCTATTGATCATCCCCTGAAGCCCACACTTCTCGTTCATCTTGGTCAGGGGCTAAGAAGCCGCTTCGAACTTTCTCGCCATCTCGCAGACCTTACATCGGCCATTTCTGCGATCGAGCTTGCTATTGAACTCACGCCCGATGAGCATCCAAATCTATATCAGGCTTATGATTCCCTTGCAGCATGTTTGGACAGGCGATTCGATCATCTAGATGATATATCTGACATAGAACGAGCGGTCGCTCTAGCGTCAAAAGCGGCGGGGGTTCTGCCCAAGGACGATCCTCGAGTAACTCTGTTATTGGATAACCTAGGTAGAAGGCAAAAAAATCTCTTCAATCATTCTCCATCTCGACCCAACTTCGACGCGGCCATCGAATCCTTCACAAGAGCGACTCTACACACACAAGGAACTCCTTTTCTTCGCTTCAAATCTGCTCGGAGATGTGTTCGAATGATTTCCCAGCATCCACCTTTCAGCTCCTCAGACGCACTCCTTTCAGCTCACTCGCGAGCAATCGGCATTCTTCCTGAGATCATGTGGTTGGGCCATGACATCCATCGGCGCTTCGAAGAGTCTTCCCAACTAGGTCATCTCGTCTCTACCGCCGTGTCAGTCGCCACGCACGCAGGGGCCCTGACAAAGGCCGTAGAGTGGCTTGAAACGGGCAGGGCTATCATCTGGGCCCAAATCTTGTCCTTACGCACGCCGCTTGACGAGCTTCAAAACAGGTGCCCCGATCTTGCCGAATCTCTGCAGAGTGTTCGTACACGACTTCAGCTATCCGTCCATGACACGTTCACGCACGACGTGCGCACCTTCAGTGATATTCCAGGCTTGACGATCAACCGTGCAGCGGATGACCACCGTCAAGCTGCCATTGACCACGACGCGGTGTTGAAGCAGATCCGCGTATTTCCTGGATTTGAAGACTTCTTGCTCCCGAAGACATATGATGCGCTCGTCCTTCCATCGGAGCTTCAGAGTGGCCCTATCGTCTTCATCAACGTTCACCCAGATCACTGCGACGCGATTGTACTCATCGGTGGAGGCACAGCCACGGTGGTCCCGCTCCCCGACTTAACGTTCGTCGGTGCGCATTTGATGCGGCTCCTCTGGGCGAAAGGACTCGCCGGCTTCCGAATAGGAAGATCTGGTATCAAGATGAATGAACTTCCCGAGGAGTGCGATCTTGAGTGGATACCGGACATCGAAGTCAAGTCTCAACGGCATACCGCCCTAGTAGTCGACGACGACGAGCTGAACATCTGCGCGCACGTTATGGAATGCACCTGGGAGTGGATCGTTGGTCCCATCTTACGTTCCCTTGACCTGGCAAGTCTGGTGAGTATCATCACGTCTACCACGGTCCGATACTGACACTCACCTAGAAACACGACGACCTCGCGCCTCATATCACTTGGTGCCCGACCGGACCGCTCACCCAGGTTCCTCTCCACGCTGCTGGGAAGTACAGCGAACCAGACGGCCCACGCGTATTCGATCTAGTCGTGTCGTCGTACACCCCTTCCCTCACGGCATTGAAGCGGTGCGCTGAGGGGGTTGCAAAGCAGCAGGGCGACACGTCGTTGCTCCTCGTCACTCAACCGAGTACACCAGGGCTTTCTCCGCTTCCAGGTACCAAAGCCGAGACCCGCGTCCTTCAAAGCGCCTTGAAAGATGCTGGCATCGCAGTTAGCGCTCTCGACCATGCGAGAGCGACAGTGACAGCTGTTAAGGAGGAGATGAAGCAGCACTCCTGGGTGCATCTTGCTTGCCACGGGTCGCAGAATCGGAAGGACGCCACGCGAAGCGCGTTCCATCTCTACAACGGCCCATTGACCCTTGCGGACCTCATGGGGACCGCCGCCGACAACGCAGAGCTCGCGTTCCTGTCGGCTTGTCAGACTGCGGTTGGAGATGCGGAAACGCCAGAGGAGTCTGCGCACCTTGCGGCCGGGATGCTCGCGGTCGGGTACAAGGGCGTCGTCGCGACCATGTGGTCGATCATAGACGCGGACGCACCCGTTGTGGTCGACGCGTACTACAAGAAGTTGTTAGCAGTGAGAGGTTCGGGGAAGCTTGGGAAAGGGGAGACGGGCGCGGCTTATGCGCTGCATGAGGCGACGAGGGTTCTACGGGAGAAGGTGGGAGAGAATAACTTCTTGCGATGGGTCCCGTTTGTCCATTTCGGCGTGTAGTTGAATGTGCTTGTTTGTGTTAGGCGGTCTTGATCGCTGGACTCTTGTATGTGAAGTCAATGTAGTTTGCGAAATTGTGTCATTATGGATCTTGAGTCTCCGTCCTGTACTTGCGGTGGGTGGGCCTCGAGGAATGCAAGAACTGCGAGTATATATTGACGCAAAACAAAACTGAATTGGCACACGGTCAAAGTGCTTCGGCGACGTGATGCCGAAGAGAGGTGGTCGTGGCGCGAAGGCAACTCGCGCGATACTGAACATGCGCATCCTGTCAAGCGCGTCGCACTCCTGTTCTCCTCCCACCATGACCATCACCTCTTCGCATCGAGGCGACTACAATTCATTTTGGTCATAGGTGATCATGCACTCGCCCAAGAAACGGCCTCCACACTCAGTCGACGACACGCTCTCCCCGTCTTGCCCATGCAAAGTTGAGGTTCGTTCCTCTCCACCGTTAGATACTCCAATGCTCCCCGCTCAATTGTCATCGTAGCAGACAATTCATCTCGCGGAGACATCGTCAGCCCACCAGGGCCAACCTTGAAGTCTTATAGTACATCTGCACTTTCGGTCGGATGAATGTATAGCGCGCTCAAGTCTAGCAAGCAGGCCATAGCTCGATTTAGCACGATGCACGCGAGGGCGCTCAAGTGCAAGCGTATGACCGTATGTGCGATGGTAGGCTATGATGTAGCTGCGAGGCGCGCTCTTCACGTCGTATCTGGCCTCACCCAGGGTGCTGACGGATTCACGCAGGATATGTACATATCGATGAGTTCATCACAACTGGCCCGCGAGAAACTCGGCCGTCAGGTTGCGCGGATCTCAACGTTGAGTGTGGAGGTACGCACCGCTCACAACGAGTGCCTGTATGAGTGCTAACGCGCCAACGCGCCAACGCGCAGCAGGACATGTGTAGACGTCTCCATTGAACAATATCCAGGCTACACAATCCCGATTCCTCTGTCTCGCGAGACTCACTCCTTTACCATTCACGAAGCCGAACGGATGTGCACTCCATGTTACGATAGTGACGCCTAGCAGTTCGTGAATAGTGCCCTCGAGGCTCGGGCGCGGGCGTCTAGCGCCCTGGTACCGTTTTGGTGAGTACAATCATCGTCCCTTCGCGACTAAGAGTAAACATAAACTCACGCGACTGCTCAGTGCAACGCCAGGAGCCTCTGCACGAATACGGTCCTTTGGACCGCTCCGGCAAATGTTGGGACAAGAGCGATCTCGGCGCGTTCCTCGCGTCCAGATGGAGGGACTGGAGATCTTGCATAAACATATCTTGCGCGTATATTGACAGTTGACGTCGGCGATCGTGCTCATTCCCGCCATAGATTATAGATCTCATGTTGTATATACCCCTTGCTATCCATTCACTAATCATCATATTCCTCATACCCTCGTCCTTGTCAACTGGGTGCAGTACTCGCCCGATTCATCAATTTCACCTGCAAGCTTCAACCCGTATACGCGCCATGCCGGTCAGTGATGTACGCCGGGCCGGAAGAAGCTCTCTTAAGGATCACCCTACAAGGGAGAAGCGCTCGTGTACATGGCTGCATGAATGTCATTGAGAGCACAACTATATACGTTACATTGAGCTGGTAGAGAGGGAACGCCCGGGCGCGATATTCGGAACGACAGGCCGAGCATGTTCACTCACATGAACATCATCCCCTCGTTCTTAGTCGAGCGAGCGCAGTCTTCGGCGAGGGATAGAACCCGTCGCGAGTGGTGAACGTCTTCATATCCTCTTTCGCCATCGCGTAGAGCGGGTAAGAACCGAGTTGAATGGTGGTGCTGAAGTGAACGCTTGTGCGAGAGACCGCAAGCAAGCAAAGACCGGCGCTGTGGTGATGGGAGTAGTATATGCTGAGAGAAGAGAAACGAACAAAGGGGTTCGCGAGTGCAGCGTCGGCTGCCCGTCGACTCGCGGGGGCCGCTCAACGTCTTGCTCATCCAGTCATTACGTTCGACCAAGCGATCCTACACCCCGTCTACCAGCCCGATGACCCTTCCCTCCGTCAGCTACTTTTCCAACGCGGCCAACGGCATCGATATCTGGATTTTCGTTCGTCGAGAGCGAGAATGAGTCGTCGAGCTCCGTCTGGAATGTGCAGCCAAACCGCGTCCGAAGGGGTATACAGCGTGAGAGAAGGTATATGCACCTTTCGGCCTTGCGCGCGGTGCCGTTTATCGATCCAGGGTAAAAGTCTCTGGTAGGTCGGGACGGTGGAGAGCTCCAAGTCGTCGTTGACCAGATCGAGCGCGCAGGTGGCGATGGTGGGGAAGCACTGAGCCGGCATCCGTGGAGGTTGAGCGGGTATTATCGTCGTTGTATGTGCATGATCGTAAGGCGGCAGGCGCCAGCAAGACCGAGAGAGCTGTGGCGGCCAGACCGGTCAGACCGGGAGATGGTGGAGGCAAGAGAAAGGTCGTGTCAATCTCACGCGTTCGCGCGTTGAAGCCGAGAAGCGACTCGGAGACTACACCGCACCCTTACTTGCTCCAGACCGTCATCATGACCGCGGTCGCATTTCGCCCGTAGCATCGGTCACTGACAGAGGATCTGCTCTTTTGGAGGGAGCGCGTTAATCACCAGAACCCATGCGTATGCACGCCTATGTTGCGGGTCTCCGCGCGAACGACGTCGACCTACAATGGCCAGCATGACCCGCACCATCATCGGCCTGGACACCATCACAAGCTTGTCATATTCATGCAAGCTTTAGTTGAGGCTGACGGCTGGCAGGGAATGGCTGTCGGTCTGGCGAGCTCACGACGGTGCGATCTGTCGTCGGCTATCACAAGGTGTGGGTACCGGGCTCCTGTCCTGAGGGTTGGCAAAGTGAGTACAGTGTTTTCCGTACAAGTCATACTTTTGGCGTGCATGTATTGACTTTGTGTGCTAGACTCTTTCTTTCTGATCATCAACCGCCAGCCCAAGATGCTTAAGCGCGTTCGGCTTCCTGTACCCCGCGATACTCTGGGCTCTACGAAGCCCACAACGTATAGCCCGTCACCCACGCTGCGCAGGGATCCGCCGTGTTAGTGCTTCATACCGGCGCATGCACTGGAACGTGGAATGGCCATGCGTCCGGTCTTCGGAGTCTCACTACCCTGGCTTTGGCGTTGCTGTGCCGGGAAAGCTCTTCGTGTGAGTACTAGTATGGTCATCCGAGCGCTACAGATATCAAAGTTCTACCCTAGTTGGCCTCTCTTTCCAATAGTGCTCACCATCACTGGCGAAATCCGGTCCGAGCGGCCCTCGCTTGCTGAGGCTCATGAAAATCTCGCGATGGTCTGAGGCTTAAACCTACGCCATTCGAGCGCCCTGTAAGCCTACTTTGGCCCCGAAATATTGGCAGACCTTATGTGCGTAATCCGAACTTTTCTCAAGTCGTACTCTCATACTGAAGCTGCCCTCGTAAAGTCGTCATCGCCTGTGTCAATCCCTGCCAAATGCAGGATCGTAAAACCGGACAGGATTATTCGGAACGCGGCAAACGCAACCACGTGGGCTATATGGCGCCCCTCGCACGGCCCAGATTTCGCTGTGGCGAGCGAGGGACAGGCGCTCGAAGGATTGCCACACAATCTGCAGGAGGCGCCTACGGCGAATGCTGTGACTTTCGCGCAAGCGCAGGTGCTCAGTCCTGGGGCTTCTATCCCGGGGCTTCTATCCCGGGATTGGCTTCGCCTACTGCTATGTTCCCCAGCACAGGCCTCGGAAGGAGAAGGTCGGGCAGGAATGATCCCGGCGCGTTCCTCGAGCATAAGTAGATTGAGGATGTTTTGCATAACTCTATCGTGTACATATATTCATTGCTCTTAATCGTGCATAGTTGCTTGTGTAAGGACCAGATACTACAGATCTTCATATCATTCTCATGTTGTATGTAGCCCTTGTCATTCGTGCTCTACTAAACATTATCCTTCTCGCGCTTCCAGCTGGGCGCCAAAGATCCGATCCCCGCAGCGCAACAGCTTGCACAGTGCGGGCTTACCCGCTCCGAATGGGATCTAGTGATGCGCCGCGTACGACGCGTTCGGTGCGTGTCGGTCGTATGGGCCGTGAGGGCTCGAATGAGGGTAAATTGTTGTCGTCGGGGAGGTGGAAGCCGAACAGCGTGATGCCCTTCGGGAACACGCTCTTCTTCCTCCGCGCCCCTCCGCAGCCAACATTCGAGTGTAGAGATAGCGCGTCGACGTCGTGGTCGAGCGAGGCGATCGAGTCGTTTGCCAGCAGCCGTTCGAGGTCAGAGTACCGTCGATGTTGACGCTGCTGGTGCGGGTTGGAGGAGGGAGGGGGAGTGCGGATGCTGGATAGGCAGGGGCCGAGCGCGGCGTGGAACGCGTCGGACCATGAGAACGTCGCCATTGGACGAGGAGTGCTGGCCGTTTGGGATGGAGAGGTCGACGCGTAGGAGGGATGTGTCCGAGGAGACGCGTTATCCGGCAAGGAATCACATGAGGGCTTCGGGTTTGATCGCCGCGGGCGCGGGCGTGTACTTTGTCTTTTGCCACCACCTTCCGCTGTATAAGCGTGTAGCTGTGCGGACTATAGCATCCATTATGCTGCCACTATGCTCCCTTGAAATACTGTGTGACAATGTCAAACCGGTTTTGTAGCTATGCGCGTCTTACACCATCGTCAACCTCACCCGCACTTGCACATCCCGCTCGTACCAACACACCCGCCCGCCGACCAGTTACGGATGAATAAAGCTTCTCTTTGCGAGCGTATACTGTAGCTTCCACGCGCCGGAGAAGATCACCAACAACCCTCCACTTGCTGGCGCGCGGCGGACCCCATTCCCCCTCTTATCGCCCCGATTCAGCTCACGCTCTACCCACATCTCGGAGGTGCGCCCGCCCGCCAATGCCCAGCCGGTACTTATCACGCTCATCTCCGCTCAGGAAAGAGGACCACCGCAGACCGGCATCCCGCCTACCCAAGTGAGTCATCTCATCCTCAGCCTTTGGTTATAATTCAATCCCACGCAGGATATCATCAACACCCAGAGGTTAACCCTCAAGCACAGAACACCTCGAGGCCAAATCTGCCCACACTTCGACCTAACTCCGACCCCACTCGTACCTGGTCATTCCTCTACCGCCCATATCTCTCTCGTCGAGGTCCTGCGCCCCCGCTCGACGTCCCGTTTCTACGCGCGCTCGGAAATACGGCGATACCTACAACATACATGCACTACTTGGACCTCCTGCGCCGCTCTCGCAAGTGCACGTTCTCGCATCCTCTACGATAGCGTACCGGGGGAAATACTGGCCGGGCAGGGTGTACGCGACAGGTCCAGCGCATTAGATGAGGGTCGGCATGTACCCATGCGTCGTGATGGGCTGGGATGCAAGCTGCTGGCCCGGAGAAGCTCTTGCCGGGGCACGAGGCGGCGCGGGCTGGGTTGGAGGAGGCATCCCGTTTTTGTTGGCAAGTAACGGGCGGTTATTGGTGCGTGCTCTATCAGTGTGTATCTGGTGTGGGCGCTGATACGCTCGCATAAAGCCTCAGGCATGCGGAGTACCTGAGAATGTTATACTTTGACTTTCGAGTACTGAGTATCTCGCCAGACTACTTCTCACTCATCATGGCCCTGGCACTCGAAGCATAAATCAGGGTCATGCGGAATGCGGCGCGAGTATGGCATAGCCTACAGGAACGGGGGAGGCACGAGTTCAAATCCACATACGACATCTGTGCGGGCGCAAATGAAAGTTCGATCTACAGCCTGAGCGTTCTCGAGGCCTCGAACATACAGCCTTACGAAGCTTCAGAGATGGAACATCGAAGCGCTATGAACCGTCGGAAGCTGTATATATTATACCCGGGCGCTCTAGTAAAGATATATACACCGGATATAATATATTCCCTTCTCTATCGCTCTCGCATATGTGGGAGAGAAAATTGATAACGTAATACCAAAGTCAATGAGACACGACCGACTCACTTGGAGCTCACAGTACATACAGCGCAGGTATCGGCCGTGGATAGCCTACGCGCGTTTTCGGCCCGAGTTTCCGAACCGCTGACACGCGCGAAGCCGCGACGGCGACCTTTTCCTTCCCTCCATCATCGGATGGTGAAATCTGGGTTAAAATTCCTTTCAATCGCATCGCCCTTATTGCCTATATGAAATAGAACGACAGCATCGCATATGCTCTGTTGTTATTCGCGTCCGAAGCGGTCGGACTCGGAACGCGCGCCGCCGGGCACGCACCTGCTGTGCGGCCAACCGACAAGATTACATTTCATATTCACCTTGCGTCTCTTGCACTCCTACTTGGATGAACTGTGGCGCTAGGTCTCACCTCCTTACGTCCGGTGTCACGGCGTAGAAGCGGGGTGTGCAGCTACAGACGCGCTTCGATTCCCTCATACGGCCTCGCATTTCACCGCATTCACCGCATTGCTAATAGATGCGAGGCATGATATGGAGAAAGCGAAGAGCTTCGCCATCTCACATCTTGTCTATATAGCCACGACATCAAGTAGCAGCCGTAGTCGATCTCACTGCTCACCTTGCTTCGCTGCGCCATGGTACGTGCTTCATTTCTTAGACATCTGTATCCAGATGCTGAACGCGTTCTAGTCCCCCGATGCACTACCTGGTCTCTCGGTGAGTGGTCCACTGCACTCAGAATGATCACGGTGTTGAACGAGAACACCACAGATCGCATTTCATGCGCTTTCTGATGCACAGTGGAATCTCTATATGACTACTCGGAACCCGGCTGACCTGGACGCGACGATAGACACCACGCAGACCGCCATCGATCTGGCCGTTGAACTCGGACCAAGCTCTGCTGAACTTCTCTTTGACCTCGGACGTCGACTCCGCACTCGCTTCGTGCTGAATAACTCTTATGATGAGCTCGATCGTGCAGTTGCGGCGCTACGAGACGCCGTTACGTATACGGCAGATGGTGATCCTGAACAGCCATTACGGCTGACCTTTCTGGGCAACCGTTTACACGAGCGCTATAAGCGTTTGGGGCGTCTCGAAGATCTTGACGATGCTGTTACAATGTTCTGTTTAGCAGTTGAGGGTACACAGGATGGCGATCCCAACAAGCTCGTAGCTCTGAGCAACTACGGTGCATCTCTACATGAACGCTTTGAGAGGATTGATGATCCTGAAGATATTACGTGTTCGATTGGAGTACTCAAAATGGCTGTAGAATGCAGTTTGGATCGGGATCCCGACAAGCCGTCGCGACTGAACAATCTAGGCAACTCATACGCACGATGTTTTGAGCGTAACGGAAATCTCGGGGATCTCGAGCAGGCTATCTGGGCACATCACAGTGCCGTCCAGCTCACGCCGGATGGGCATTCCGACAAGCCGTCGCGATTGAACAACCTGGGAAACTCGCTTCTCACGCGATTTGAACAGACTGGGAGAGTTGAGGATCTTGAACAGGCTGTTGTGGCGCAACGCAACGCCGTCGAGCTCACACCAGATGGGCATCCTGACAAGCCCTCGCAATTGAACAACCTGGGCAACTCGCTTCTCACGCGATTCGAACAGACAGGGCGCGTTGAGGATCTTGAACAGGCCATTGTAGTGCAACGCAACGCTGTCAAGCTCACGCCTGCTGGGCATCCCGACAAGCCCTCGCAATTGAGCAACCTGGGCAATTCGCTTCTCAGGCGATCTGAACAGACAGGGCGCCTTGACGATCTTGAACAAGCTATTGTGGCGCAACGCAACGCTATCGAGCTCACGCCTGATGGGCATCCCGACAAGCCGTCGCGATTGAACAACCTGGGCACCTCGCTTCTCACGCGATTCGAACAGACAGGCAGCGTCGAGGATCTCGAACGAGCTATTGTGGCGCAGCTCAGCGCCGTCGAGCTCACGCCTGATGGGCATCCTGACAAGCCGTCGCGATTGAGCAACCTCGGAGGTTCCTTGACAAGGCGCTTCGAGCGCACAGGTGAACTTCAGGACCTTGAACAGGCGATCGTGGCACTTCGCAGGGCCGTCGAGCTCACACCAGAAGGGCATCCTGATAAGCCATCGCAGTTGAACAACCTTGGGACTTCCTTGACGAGGCGCTTCGAGCGCACAGGTGAACTCCGTGATCTTGAACAGGCGATCGTGGCCCGTCGCAGGGCCATCGAGCTCACACCGGAAGGGCATCCTGACAAGCCGTCGCGATTAAGCAACCTCGGGAATTCCTTAAGTAGGCTCTTTGAGAAACTTGAAGAACGCGGTAGTCTTGAAGAGTCTATTGCGTGTTATGAGAAGGCTATTGAACTGACGGCTGATGATCACCCCCAGAAGCTCTCACATCTCGTACATCTTGGCCAGAAGCTGAGGACCCGCTTTGAATTTTTGCACAACCCCGCAGACCTTGCTACCGCCATTTCCGCGATCGAGCATGCCATTGAACTTCAGCCACATGAGCATCCAGACCTATACCATGCTTACGATTCCCTTGCGGCATGTTTAAGCAGGCGATTCGATCATTTCAAGGATGTCTCTGACATCGAAAAAGCGGTCGCACTCGCGTCAAAGGTGGCGAACCTTCTGCCAAAAGACGATCCTGAACTGGCTGCGACGTTGATTAACCTCGGTCTCATGCAGGAACGACAATTCAATCGTTCTTTAAGTCGATCCGACTTTGACGCAGCTATCGAGTCTTTCAAAAGAGCGACTTTGCACACTCACGGAACCCCTTCTGTTCGGTTTAAAGCCGCTCTGAATCATGTAGACATGGTTTCTCGGCATCTAACTTTCAGCACCGTAGAATCGCTCCTCACAGCGCATTCACAAGTCATTGATATTCTTCCGGAAGTCATGTGGCTGGGCCATGATATCCAGCGTCGCTTCGAAGAGTCCTCCCGACTGGGTCGTCTCGTCTCTACCGCCGTGTCAGTCGCTATATCTGCTGACGCACTGAGACGCGCTGTCGAGTGGCTTGAAGCGGGCAGGGCTATCATTTGGGCCCAAATCTCGTCCTTACGCACCCCGCTCGACGAGCTTCAGGCCGCATTCCCCGATCTCGCCGAATCTCTGCGCGGTATTCAAACGCGGCTTCAGCGTTCTGTGCATGGCACTTTCGCGCACGATGTGCGTACCTTTGGTGACATCCCAGGTATGACTATCAATCCTGCAGCGGATGATCATCGTCAAGCTGCCATCGACTACGACTCGGGTTTGAAGCGAATCCGCGCATCTCCTGGATTCGAGGACTTCTTGCTTCCGAAGAAGTATGACGCGCTCGTTCTTCCGTCCGAACTTCAGAGTGGTCCTATCGTGTTCATCAATGTCCACCCAGATCGCTGTGACGCGATAGTACTCGCTGGTGGCGGCGCGCCTACGGTGGTCCCGCTCCCCGACCTGACATCTGATCGTGCGCACTTGATGCTGGTCAACTGGAAGAAAGGACTCGCTGACCACGGTATTCGGGAGACTGGCATCGTACAGGACGAACCTCCTGAGAGCGATCTCGGGGGGATGCCGAGCACCGAGCCGACGTCCCACCGGTCTAGTGCTTGGGCAGACGACGACTATGATATTTGCGCGCACGTTCTTGAGTGCGCCTGGGAGTGGATCGTGGGTCCCATCCTGCGCTCTCTCGACCTCGCGAGTCTGGTGAGTATTGTGACATTCACAATGGCCCGGTATTGACACTCACTCAGGAACACGACGACATCATGCCTCACATCACTTGGTGCGCGACCGGACCTCTCACGCAGGTTCCTCTGCATGCTGCTGGGAAGTACAGCGACCCTACCGGTCCACGCGCCTTCAACCTCGTTGTGTCGTCGTATACCCCATCCCTAACGGCATTGAAGCGTTGCGCCGAAGGAGCCGGAAAGCACCTAAACCGCCCGTCACTGCTCCTTGTCACTCAACCGAATACGCCAGGGCTGTCTCGGCTCCCCGGTACCGAGGCTGAAGCACGTGTCCTTCGAGGCGCTTTGGAGGATGAGCGCATTGAAAGCAGCGCTCTTGACCACGCGAGTGCGACAGTAACGGCTGTCAGGGATGGCATGAAGCAGCATACATGGGTGCATCTGGCTTGCCACGGGTCGCAGAATCGTAAGGACGCCACGCAGAGCGCGTTCCATCTCTACCGCGGTCGATTGACACTCGCGGCGCTCATGGGGACAGTGGCCGATAAAGCGGAGCTCGCGTTCCTGTCGGCTTGTCAGACTGCATCTGGAGATATAAATACGCCAGAGGAGTCTGCGCACCTTGCGGCCGGGATGCTCGCGGTCGGGTACAAGGGCGTCGTCGCGACCATGTGGTCGATCATGGATCAGGATGCGCCCGTCGTGGTCAAGGCCTATTACAAGAGACTACTGGCGGTGAGAGGTTCGGGGAAGCTTGGGAAAGGGGAGACGGGTGCGGCGTATGCGCTGCATGAGGCAACGAAGGCTCTGCGGGAGAAGGTGGGAGAGGATAAATTCACTCGTTGGGTTCCGTTTGTCCATTTCGGCGTGTAGTCGAATGTGTCTGTTCGTGTTGAGGCGGACTTGATGGCCGGTATCGTATGTGTTGATGTAGTTTGCGAAATTGTGTAATGATGGACGTCAATTCTCTGTCTTGTACTTGCAGTGGTGGGCCTCGGAATGCATAACCGCGCTCTTGCGCTTTGATGATCTCGTTCAAGAGCATGTATATATTGGCGGCGTGATGCCGAAGATGGGTGGTCGTGGCTGAAAGGCAACTCGCGCTATGCGGAGCCTGTAGAGCGCGTCGCACTCACACCGGTTCCCGCTCTCTTCCCATCATCACCTCTTCCTCTCTTCTATTCTGTTTGGCACGAGACCTCCGGATACCTGAGTGTCAACCCCCGGCAGAAGATTGCGTCAAGCTTACACGATACAGTGCACTCTTGCTCACGGTCTACTCCTACATATAGCCGCTCCTTTCAATCACGCGCAACTCCATAGCCACCCCTCGTCTTGTGCGCGCCGTCCTCGCCGCATTCTGAGGATCGGTGCTCGCTTCCGCCAAGCGGACACACAGGCGCGCCGCCTTTACGGAGAACGCATGCTGGTGACAGCGCGCGGGTGAACCTTAGCTGCCGGACTTTGCCACTTCCCTCGTATGCTCGATGTAGCCTTGCAAATCTACGTTGTGTAGCACCCATCAGCGCGCCTTGGCGGCCCCATCCATATCCGCGTGCGCCCCTCCGCGCTCCTCAATATGCTATCCTTCGACGCACTCCCTGTGACACAAGTCTTGGGTCTCACCCACTGCTCTGCCGATCCGGTATCGAAACGGCGTTGACGGTCATGAACACACGGCGCGTGGCTTGCTCGCGGGATAGCCTTAAGGTTATGCTGGCCGGGCATCGGAGATGTGAGAGTTGGCTGAAAGACCATCTTCACATGGAGGCTACATTGCTGGTCATGCTCATAGTATGTGCTTTGCGAATATGGGTTATCCGTCGATACTCACATGCACACGTAGATTCTCTATGCATGATGCCTCGAACGTTGTCGCACATTACAACTCGTGCACTTCTTGGCCTATTCACTCGCGAAGGCTCGACCTACATACGTGAACGGGCGCCCAGCACACCCACAGGAAGCTCGGTCCCCGAAGATAGTGGTCACGACACCCTGGACGGCTTACCGTCTTCTCTCGACTCGTGGCTTTCATCTCGGGCGTCAATGCCGAGCTCAACGTTCGCTGAACGTTGAGGTCCAGGCCACAGACCTCATTCCAACGCTGTAACCCTTCACACCTCTCCACCCGCTTTCATCGCGACTCGTCGCTGTGAAGTGCGTACCACCTATTCGCCTCTATACCATATCCTCATCGTTGACATAGGCGATCTCTATTGCAACCCTAAAGACAACTCGCCTGGTGAGTGCTGTATTTGCAAACGCTATATTTCCCGTGATCTAAGGAGAAGTTTCAACAGATCTCGTGCCGTTTCAGGACGCAATATGAGCACGCCTGCCGCCTCTGGAAGCTCTTCGAGCGCGACGTACTACGCCATGAAGGAAATGTCTGACGGGTCGTACGCCAGTCTCAAAGACCCTGAAGCCGCTATCGACGCAGACTGCGAGTCTCTCAATACCCCTCAGCCCCGACCCTTCCATTCGAGCGTTCTCAGCTTCGCAAAATCGTTCGGCCGCCACTTGCTCACGATCATACTCTACCTCCTAATCCACATACCGCACGGCGTCATCATCCTAATTACCCTCGCTTTCGTCACCTTGCACGTCGGTGCCATCGTAATTGCGAATAAAGAAATTGACTGGCCATCGTTCGCCGACACCGACGCCGCCTTTGAAGAAATCCCCATCCACGCCGAATACGACGATTTCGGCCGATTCTTGTTCAAGGTCAATCATGGGGCGGGGATCGCGCTTATATGGTTGTCGATTCACGTGCCGGCTGTCTTTGGGATGGTGTTCTCAGTCAAGATGGGGATGAGAGCATGGGAAGCGCTCGAACCTTAGGCCGGCGATAGGCGTGTGGAGAGGAGGATGTCAGTCATGATCAGGCGTCGGTATGTCCGTTCAATGGGGCGGGGTATGTTGGCCGGGCTGACCTAGTGCTGCAGGTTGGAGCACCGACGCTGAACAGACTCGCGCACTGTATCGTCTACTTCGAGGCCCGAAATGTACATGGATACTATCTTGAAGAGCAAAGAGCCGGGTTCTCAGTTACAATATTCTTGTCAGATTTTCACGACCGGATGAACTGGTGCACGAAGTAGCACAAGCTGCGCGCTCTCGACTTCACTAGTAACGTGCATAGCCGCGAAGGATGAGCTTGAAAGATGATAGCGTGCAATAACACCCATGGCCTCGGTAAGAAAAGTCGTATAAAGCGCACGTTGAACTAGAGTCTAGTTAGTCAAGGCGTCGCTATGAGCGCGTTGCGCTCAATCATAGGTGGTAGAAAGGTATTCCTCCTGTGGGAGCTGGGTGCTGCAGGAAGAGAGAGGACGCGCCAGAGCGTGCGAGCCGCATGGCGCGCGTTGATGGATTTATCTATGTACGTGCCGAACAGCTCCCGAGAAGCCTGACCTCTTGCCACCACCATTGCGTGCAGAAATGGCTTTGCAAAATTTGATCTTCGACTGCTACATATCTTCATATCGCGCAGCCATCATCGGAAGCGCCTGCGCTGCGGTGTGAGCGAGATGGCCGGCGCTCGACGTTGCAGGGAAGCACGCTGTCGGGCGCTACTTCCGAGGATCGCAGGTCTACCGCTCGCCGCTCTGACACCGACACCGCCTACTACCAGCTTTGCGGGCAGCATAGACTCTCCGCCGTATTTTGCTTACTCTTGACAATGTGCGCGTCCATTCGCGCTTGCCGCCATACCTCCTCAGGATCCCGTGGCGGTGCGCCTCGGCCTACACGGCGTCCTCGTGCCCACGAACACCAGGACACAAGGTTTCCAAGGACTGTAGCTCTACGGATATCGAAGGACTTGAGCACAGCTTCACAACAGCAGGCGCGCGATACTGTGGTTCTCGCTAGCCGTAGTGAATGGGATTCATAAGGTCTGAAGGTGTTAAGCCATGGGAGCCTCCACTCGCCCATACGAACTTTCAAGTGAGCGTTCGCTCGCTCCTAGATTGTGTACAAGCTAACCAGATCTCAGATCTATTGCTCCGGAGGGTACCTCAGGATGCGCTCTTCATCTACGGATCACAGCGAGCTCAAAGCCGAGGAAACCGCCTTTTCAGATCCGCCTGCACTGTCGCCAGTACCCCTCCCAGCACGATCGAATTGTCATATCTCAGTCCGAGCCCGACAAACCCTCCTCATTCTCTCCGCCCTCCTTGCTCTATCTCTCGACATCGCCATGGCGATCCACGTGTTCACCGCGATCACCTGGACCTTCGCAGACACAACCAACACCGACCCTCTCTGGTGGATTGCGTTGACACTCATGAATGTTGGCATCGTGGCGGCGATGTGCTGGCTCGTTGTGGGGTTTCTCGCGCTCGCGGTTATGGTCGTTGTCAGGGGCTCGGAAAGCTGGGACAGGTTGGAGTGCGAGCTTGGTGACGAGGAAGAGGGTGCAGATCGACGGGAGGACATTGTATAGAGTGATCATGGTGCGTATCTGTCCATATTTGGATGATCTGTCCTTACTCATGTGTACAAGCAGGTTCAGTAGCGTTAGGGTTACCCTTGCTATGGCCCCCTTCATCTCAGATCTCCTCGCATATGCGACGATACCCATTTATCCGCCTCCTACTTCCCTCTAGACATCGGCAATCATCTCCGTTCTTGAACCTATCATCTCTTCCGCGCCTCATTTTGCTCTTGCATCCTTCTATCCCTTCGACCTATGCGCTTCCTCGGAGGCATACTCACGATGGTTCAAGAAAGCGCGCGCCAGGCGGCCGATTCGGAATGCACAGCCGCCGAGGATAGCTCTTCGCCTGGCGATGTATTTGGGCACCGCTTGAGTGTCCTTTTCTCTGACACCCCCGTGCATCCTCGGCGGTAGTGCAGAGGGCCATCAGGTCTGATACTTTCACGCCGTACCCTGCCGTACCACCAACGCACGTCTGCGTTCACCTCGGTAAGCGCTCCTTTCTGCGTTCAGGTCGGCCTTGAGAACTGATACGATGTCAGACGCCTCAAACCTGTGGCACTACCACTCTCATAGGCTCACGACACGTGCCGGCCGTCTTCGCTCTCTCAGGCTTAGCCATGTCTGCACCTGCGTATCCCTCTATCGTCTCTCTCGCGCATGCCGAATTCATCGCAAACTGCGGCTGCGGCGGCGCGTCGGTTACTTGCTGGGCGCCTGGCGTTGATGATCCTCGTCTCCGTTGAGATGCGTGCAACAGGGCGCATTGCAAGGATATCCAGGATGAAGAACTGAATGATGGGTATTACTGATATGTGACATAGACATCTACGTGTATCCTATGAACCCGTAGTAGAGCGTATAGATATGAAGCCCAGATCACTGCATTTGAGCCCTTCTCTTGATTTCTTGCGGCCACCCCAATAGCGTGATATGCTTCCAGTAGAATATATAGAAAGTCAGCCCTAGTAGATCTGGGAGTACGCGAAGACTCGGGTACTCATCCACCCAGAGATGATGATCATACCCATTGCGAGCAGAAGCAAGTAGTCTTTACACAAGCGGCCGGAGGGTGGCTTCGGAGTTCGGCCCGATGTCCGGGCGCGAAGGCATCGCCAAACGCGGTTCAACATCGCGCGGCCAGGTTGAGTTTCGACGACCATGAGAGCGACACGAGGCATACCACCTCCTTTCTTCTTGCCACCACCTTCGGTTCTCTTACTGCTTGGGACATGCAGGAGCAGTCTCAGCCAGTCGATCTCGCTCGCATATACAACGAAACGCGGCATGATTACGTGCATGAACAGTGCACTGCTGGTCGTACAAAATCTCTGCTCGACCACTTGCGTGCCCCTCTGAAAGATGTCGACACATCTTATGAAGCTAATATATTCGAGCGATGGGAGCGTGAAAGTGTCGCAAAAGCCCCTACGCACGTTGAACACGATGCTCGGTCACACAAGGAGACATTAATGGCTACGCTCCGTTACACAAACTTCAAGCATGGCGAGCCAGCTGAGCCTGTTGAACTCACTTGCACGACAGCAAAGCTCACGAATCTCGTCGACGTCTTTCCGCAGCATCCGCGATATGAAGCGTGTGCACCGTCAGACCATAACCTTGGGTATCGGGAGGGCGACGGGAATCACCCTCTGACAATTGCTGCCCCATACCTCCCATATGCAGATACCGTGGACTACCCACCGGTAGGCTATGAACCGGCTGCTTTCAAGGCGAGGGATTATCTCAAAGCGTTTGAAAATCAAGTGGACTGGAGGACATTGCGTGGTCCTGATGGTAAGCAGCAATCTTCACTCTTCAATATATTATACAGGTTGACAAACACATGACAGTTGATGTTGTCGCCTATAAGTTTATAGAGCGCGCTCGCTCGCAGCATGGGCTATCTTTGGATAGCATTGACGAGTTTTTGCTCGATTACGATCAGGAGTCTGCGAGAAAGGTGCTCTCGAAATACGCGCAGAGGTAAGGCACTTTTTTCGCGAATGCCAGCCCTCGTCATCTGATCATGCTTTCTCAGAGATCCGCCGTCCTGGGCGCATATTGGTGGGCAACAAGACGATCAGCTTCTGGACCACACACCCCGGCGATCCCCACAATCCGACGAACATCTCGACGAAGGGACCAAGAAGTTATGCCTCATATGCAAGACATTCTATTGTCTACGCCATAGTAGGTCTTCGTTCGCGAGCTCATGCCAGAGGGAAAGCTGAAGGTTGGCTAGCGGACGAGTATTACAACTGTAAAGAGCCTAAGTGCAAGTCGTATATACTTGGTTGCGGCCGCCCACACCATCGCCATAGTAAGTTCCTCCCGAAGTCAGCTCTCATTGCACACTCATTCGGGGATGCCAGTCACGCAACGCCAATACCTGCCTCAGTCGATTGCGAAGCGCACCGAAAACGAAATACGTGCGGCGTCTTTAAACCAAGCACCGTCTGATTTCAGTTGCGCTGCACCTTGCTTCATGACAATGACGCGAGACGATCAGGTGAGCGTTATCCTCGTCCATAATGTCAAGCTATCAGGGTCTCATTCAGTCACGGATAGAACGTAACGCGAAAGCGACTTCAAGACGAACCATGGTCGGAGGAAGAACGAGAGGGGTTGCTGACCACATTACAAAACTACGGGCCGGACGAGTCTCCGTGTACAATTGGGCGCCTCATCGGACAACCGTGCATCGATGTAAGAGAACACTCGCCTTGAATCATCGCAGGCTCGCTCACCGGCGTGTCGAAGATATGGTTGCTGCGATGCGATCTGATCGAAGAAGGCAAGCTCTCATTTACGCCGGCGGCAGGCGACAGGGAGTCGATGGATAGGACCGGTATCCCGGTCTATGACTCTGATGAACCTTGCTGGAGTACGTATTTGGTCTGCAAAGTTATCCAGGGCAAACGTCTGACTCTTGTTAACACAGATGACGATAGTAAGGGAGTGAGACTTAACGCCGTGTACGTTTACCGCCGTCACTGCGCCGAGATCGTCCACTGAAACCTGACCGTACTTTTAGTCCCCGACCATGCAATCACGTCGGACCATGTCAGGAATCCGACGATTGTGTGTGCCGACGTGCTGGGTTCCATTGCTCGTCGCTGTGCCGTTGCGAATCGGACTGTACGTAATTTTAGACTGGTGGACATGGCATGTCATCTCATGTGCCAATGCAGGTTGTATGCGTTGGAAAGGCTGTGGTTGTGCACAGCATGGATCGCCATGCCATGCACCAGGAAACAACAACTTTCATTGCCCTTGTGCGGAGGGGGGTCGGGAGTGTGAGGTTGGCACGTGCATCGGCTGCAAGTACGTCTCACATCTACAGCACGAGTCATCAGCACCTAACTTGACCTACAAGACCCTCGGTTAACTGCAAGAACATGGTGATACAGTTCGCTAAGCGTCCGGTACTACGAATCTATTTACCTCTTTCCCAGCTCTACTGATGTACCCACATAGCGACTCGAGGTCAAGATGGGCAAGTATGGACTAGGGACATTCGCTCTAGAACATATCAAGAAGGGACGCTTCATTGGAGGTGAAGACCCTCGCGCGTACCCGAGAGGCTCAGATTTTCTCACAAATCTTACTCCCAGAGTATACCACCGAGGTGAACATACTGGAGCATGATGCACATAAAGTGTAAGAATGACTTTCACTGTCTAGTAGCGATGCACTGATTTTTGCGGTAGACACGCACGCAAACACGTCGAACTCAATTACTCGTATGACACGACATTCGGCACTGCTGAGAACCCCAAATCGCAGAGACGAAAGGGAAGGAACAAGGCCACGAGCTCAGCGTCAACCTCAACCCAGCCGCTGGAGTTACCGTTCTACACGTATGATGCCGCTCGCATCGGAAGTGTCATGCGGTACATAAACGATAGCTATCCTCGCAAGAAGCATAACGTGGAAGCCCGATGTACGTCCTTTCTCTCGCAGATATTTTCGTCCCATACTGACTATGCATTGCATCAGACCTGTTCGCACAGGGAGAGCAGCACATCGCCATATTTGCCAGTGCGATCCTTCTTTTGCGTCGGGATTGGCAAACACTAACGATTGGGAAATGTGACAGAGGACGCTATCAAAGTGGGACAAGAGCTCTTCTTGGACTACGGCAGACCCTACTGGCATCATAAGGACGATGAGATAGCTGATGCCGATGCTGACGTCGAAGACGAAGATGGTGAGGTATGAGAGACGGGAGAGACGTGGGAATATGTTTCCCATCGGTTGGCACAACGATGGGAAAGCAAATCGGCTATTAGACGTGTATATGGAATATATGGAATATATCATCGCAGAATATTATGATGGAAGATAACTGAGGTAGAACGAAACTACCGTCATGTAGTGCATGCGTGAGCTGAGAATGGTGTTCATGAAATCAGGGATGGATGGTAGAATCGCCACTCGCAGCAAGACCGCCTGGTAGTTGGAATGTTGAAACGTCCAGAGCAGCGAACGCAGATGTATCGCATGCGCCATTCTGCAATTCCCCGACAATCTCCTTGAGCTTAAGGAACAGTACAATCTTATCGTTGAGCTGCAAGGAGCGTATCAGTGCCGTACGATCTTCTGATACACAGCGGCTTGGACCGGAGTCTACGCACCTGATGGCTGACCACCCTACCGGATGTACTGGGAACAACGAAGAAGAGTGTCTCCGTAACCGGACCTCCCTAGATGTAAGCATGACATTGAGAGTCATTTATTCAGCGACCCACAAAGGGAGAACACGTACGGTATGGACCAGCTTGTAAGGTTGAAGATGCTCGTATATGAAAGGACTAGACGTTTTCGCACTCTTGCCTTTCTTAGGTACAATCGTCGGCTTTTCAGGCGTAAGCTTGGCCAAAACTCGCACGACTGCGTCCCAGACGAGTTTTCCGACGAAGCACACCACTCGCGGACGGTGACATCGGACTTTATCAAGCAAAGCTTGTACCGACGCTTCGATCTCAGCCTTCGATAGTTCTTTGGCCTGATATACGAGAATGAGGTTCGATTACGCAGTACAGAGCCGCACACATACCTCAGCAGACGGTCGCTCCACTATATTCGTCTAGTTCGAAGTCAGTACTGACCGAAGCTCGTAGGAAGGGGAGTTCGGCACTGACAAGACCAATGTTATACTTCTCGGGGAGAAGATAGCCGTCCGATGGTGATATCCGTGTCGGAGTAAAGCCTGCAATTCTGTTGATATGAACCAGCCCAGCGCGAGAAGCATCACGATACACTCACCGCCTTGATGTAGACACCTCCAGAAGTGGTTCGCTGGATGAGCGTAGTGTGCGCCCGACTCAGCGGACTTATAACCAGGGCTGTGCTCGTTTTAGTTCATCTAGTTCCCATGAGAAGCATAGGATACTCACTTGATACCGCAGAATAGGACTTCGTGAGGGCAAGTGTTAGTATAGTCAGGCTAACGTCGGCGGGTGAAACTCACCATCCAGCTCGAAACCGAGATGATCAGGCAGGCCGTTGAGGTGCGCGTATGTCTCAGGAGCCGCATACCCGCGCTTCTGCTTCTTCTGAGCCTTGCTTCTTGAGCTGGGTGCCGAAGGGTGCCGTTTTAGTGGCGGAGGCAAGGGTAGGTAGTCGTCGTCGACTGCTTCATGTTTGCGCTTCCGGCTTGACGAAGTGGGAGTGACGCGTCTCTTTGCGAGGGACACAGGCGTAATGGGGAGTGTCACTATCCCAGGCTCAAGCTTCGCAGGAGTATCGGACCGTTTCGCCGTGGACATATTCGTGAGGTTGCGTGGCGAACGACGGGGAAGCGCCTGAGGGCCGGGAGTCGCGGTCGGAGTGCGATACGAGTAAGACGCGAGCAAGCCTCTCATAACAGTCTCCGCCTTTGCGTCGGTTGCGGCGCGGCCGGGGTGGCGTAATTCTTCTGCCTCAGCCATTACCCCAAGGCTTGCTGAAGCTGAGGTAGCAGGAAGTGATGGTGCGGGAACAAGACGCGCTGAGACACAACGCGATTCGCCACTCGTAGCGAACGCGCACACGTGAGAAGGCGCGTCGCAATGTTGCAACCGCGCTTTAACTCGAACCACCATCATCCCCTCCCCAAAATGATTGACCACGGCTCTGAGACACCTCCAGATGAAAGAAGCCCTCTTTACAAGACTATTCTGCGCGTTCAAGCAGAGGTTCGAGAAGAGTTCGATGCGTGGAATGCGAAACACGTACAAGAAGTTCTTCTTGGCGACGTACGGCGGCCTCTGCCAGAACCCGCGTCTAGCCGCAATGTCGAGATCGAAGATATGCTCGGCTTACATGTCAGCACACGTTTTAGTAGCAGAGGGGAGGTACTGAGACCTCCATGGCTTGCGCCTAGTGCACCCGGTATGATGCTCCTTGCAAGATTCTCTACTAGCTGGGACTGAGCAACATGGTAGTGAATGTCCATTACGATACGAGCGACTGGGAGTTCGAGCCCACCCCTGAGTATGAATATTGCGCACCCTCAAACCGCAACTGCTATGTCGGCGACGATTCCTCTGCGCTGCTCTTCGATCCCTTGAGCGACAAAACGCGACCTAAAGAACACGAAGAATTCTTGGACATGCACGACGACTTCGCATGGACTACACTGGCTGATCCTGCAGGTACGATTGTTTTCCTCTGAATGACGCCCTGAGCTGATGTACTGCGCGGGTGAAAGACGAGTTCATAGTCCTCGAAACTGCTGTTCGCCTGCAAGAGATGCATGATGGGCTATCGCTGCAGGATATCCACGAGGAGAAGGTTCTCTCTCCTCCGCTATTCGACCACAAGACTATATGTGGTATCTTCAGTCATGGCAAAAACAGGTACTTTTTATTCTGTCGGTTGTCAATCATAGCTTAGTCGTACGCAATGTTGTCAATAGGGACTATCCCGAGTGGAACCGGCCTAGCCCGGTGCGCATCTTCGACCGACCAGAGAACCAATCAACGAGCACAAGCATACCTCGATGTCCGCATCGCGGTTGCGTTGCATCCTTTCCGTGCACTCTTCATGATCGTACGCTCTCTCCAGCTGGTCGTCATGTTAACTGGATGCTCACGGAATCCAGCAAAATCTTCGCGGAAGATCGTCGCACAGAGTTCAAAACCTGTGCTTGACTTACATACTCTCCGACAACAAAACGAGCCCTGCGGAGATAATTGCGGCCTCGCTCAGGGCGTAAAATGGAATGTGAGCACCCGTTCTCGTGATATCGGTTCCGTGAATCAAGTGTAACACATATGCAGGTTCAGGAGCCCTGGCCGGAGTCTGACGAGGAAGTGCTTCGTGACGCGCTGATGCAGCAACCGGCACTGCTCCCTTGTCTATACGCGGCTATGTGGGGCGTCCCTTGTAATGAGGTAAGTCTGTATAGCTAGTCCGAGTCGGGTAAAGACTGAACCGGACTCAAATGGCTTAGGTATTTACTCTCCGTGAGAAGATATTGCCCCAAGTGTATCCCGACCTCGACGAACAACCATCACGCCCAACTACGAAGCGGCGCAACAAGAAGAAGAAACCCGTTACGGAGCTTCGAAACGCACCGTATGTCTTTCTAGCGACATTGTGCTTGTAGAGATTACTGACAGCATCGAAGCCACGCGCCGTGCTCTCACGACGGTCCTTGTACGTCGAACGTGTGCGCATGCTATAAGGCATCCGGCTTCTGCGAGCGCGACTGTAGGTGTTCTGAAGCATGTACGGTCTTCACTCGAGCTTCAGTGTCGTTCGACTTATCTAATACCACTTAGGTGACCGACGATGGCGAGGCTGTACCTGCGCGAAGGGTTCGGGCGCTGCATGCGTCAGGAGGACATGTAGATGCGTCGCCGCGAATCGTGAATGCGATCCCGACGCGTGCGGGCAGTGTGGCGCCAGCGATGCGGAGGAGCAGAGCTGTGGCAACGTCTCTTTGCAACGCCGCTCATGGAAGAAACTCGAAGTTCGCCAAGCGACTTGGGGATACGGTGCATTCCTGCTTGAGCCGGCGAAGAAGGGTGAATTAGTGATTGGTGCGTGGGTGTCTTTTGTCTCGTGATGAGCAAAGGGTAATCGCGCTATAGAGTATGTCGGCGAGATCATAGCGCAGCCCACCGTCGATTCACGAGAGTAAGTCCGGCTTTATCGTGCATGTATAGAGCTCAAGTTTGAGAGGGATCATCTGGCAGATACGTGGCTAGAGAACGAGAGCGACACTATCTATATAACCTGAACAACGTATTCACACTCGATGCGTCCTATGCAAGCAACGTTGCGCGCTACATCAACCACAATAGCAAGCAGGTGAACTGTCAGGCTCGAGGTGCGTAGATAGTCCGTCGTGTTTGCAACTCAACTCACACTTCCTCAGTACGTCTAGTAGGAGGCGAACAACGGATCGCTATCGTAGCCGGCAAGTGCCACAGTGTAGATCTGAGAAAGACGCTGACGCAATTGTGCAGATAGGAATCTTGAGGTCGGTGAGGAGTTGTTCCTCAACTACGGAAAAGAATTTCCTATCCCCGGCGAAAGTCCCGAATAGCACGGGTGCATTGTGACATCAAGCACGCATGCTGCTACAGCGCATCGTGGTCTTGACGGCTGTACTCGGAAGTCACTTGTGTCACCGTAGACGCAGTAGATGGCAAGCCATGCAACAGCCGAAGAGGATCACGACAAGCACATGCGTATTAGTAGTACATACACAAGAACAGACAAACAGGGTAGAATAAGACCAGTCATTGCCAGACATCAGTCGTCGTGCTGCTCCATCGCTTCCGTGACCTTACTGTTGGATGCCGCGGCTTGATGCTGCGGGAAGTAGACGTGAGCACATGGATAGAACCCAGGTGCGAGGGACCGCAACGAACGCACCTGACGAAGCTTGACGAGGTGTATTTTGAGCGTCTCGGCGTACTGTTCGAAACCGAGGGAGCTCATGGCGTAGAGAATGTCCTCGCCACCTATTGTCTTGCGCTTTTCAAGCTGACATTTCTCCGCCGCTTCCGAGGTGATGAAGGAGATGAACTCGGACACGCACTCCTGGACGCACTCCTTTGCGTCTTTCGCGATCTTCGCCGTCGACGGCACCGAATTCTTCATAATCCGTGACACATTGGCGATCTGAGCGGGCCGGAGTTATATCAGTACCAAGTCCATCGCCGTAAGAGGTATACCTCATAGGGCAAGACGCACCGGCAAATATCTGTCCTGTTCGCGATACTCTCCGACCTCGTTCTCGGTAATAGGGGCGGCTTCGGGGACCTCCTTGGGCGCGTCGGGTTGGCCGTCAGCGTTGTGAGGCGCTATGGGCGCTATGTTGGCCTGGTATTCAGACATGGGTCGGGAGCTGTGGCATGATATCGGACAAAGTCAAGCAGCGCCGCGTGCTCTCCTCGTCGAAGCCCTCTCGTGAGAACGGAACCGCGTTGCCTCGGAAGCGCCTGGAAGCGCGCAGCGAACATCTTGGCAACGTACCGCCTCGAGCTCAACATGTCCGTGCCGATCTTTGAAATATATACGCCTAGTTTTATGCTCGTACGGCGTTCGAAAGAACAAGGTGTATGGCGCGCATCCTTCCAGGTCTCGGCCGGCTTTCTTAGCGAATGGCGACCCTCGTACCGATATGCACCGGGCCCGTGCATCCTGACCATGGACTGACGTCGTCGACGCGCTTCGCAACGGACAGACGACAGGATAGCACATGGGCCGGCAGGGGCACATGTCGCGATCCATGATCATCATAATATAACCTGTAACTGCAAAGGTAATCGAAGACGGTCGCTGGCTGTGCTCGCGTATAAAGCCTCGGTGCCTCTGGTTGAACGACGCCATTGCCCTCCCGGTTCCGCCTCTCTACCCAGGGCGATTCGGACTTCTTACTTATTGTTTCCTTTCGCCATGTTTTCCTTCGCCGCTCTTCTCGCTCTCGTCCCTCTCTCCGTCAGCGCCGCGACGCTGAACAAGCGCTCGATCAACGGACCCGTCATCACGGACAACTTCCCTGATCCGGCCATCTTGACTGTGGATGGCACCTACTACGTCTTCTCTACCAACAGCGGCGGCAAGAACGTTCCCGTTCAGACATCTACCGACTTTGTCAACTGGACGCCCCTCGCCGATGCGCTTCCTACGGTCGGTGCGTGGAGTACTGGAGTGAACATCTGGGCGCCGGACGTGATTCAGCTCGGTAAGTCTTCCGAAGTCTGCAAGAACAGCGCTTTGGCTGATGCAGACACACAAGGCACCAACAGCTTCCTCATGTACTACTCAGCGGAGGTAGCCAGCAACCCTGGTACGCACTGTGTCAGCGCCGCAACATCATCCTCGCCTGCCGGCCCGTACACTCCAATCTCTAGCGTTCTTGCTTGCCCCATTTCGTATGTGACCAAGTCTACTCCTGTTTTATAACGCTAATCAGGCTGTCAATGCAGTGACGGTGGCGCCATCGATCCCGTCGCATTCATCGACACCGATGGTTCGCTCTACCTCGCGTGGAAGGTCGACGGCAACAACATCGGCCATGGCGGGAACTGCAATAACGGCGTCGCCCCCATCGTACCCACCCCGATCATGATTCAGAAGATGACGGCCGACGGAACCGCTTTCGCCGCTGGCAGCTCCAAGACGCAGATCCTCGACCGCGGTGATGCTGACGGCCCGCTCATCGAGGCACCTTCGCTCGTCGAGAAGGACGGCACCTACTTCTTGTTCTTCAGCTCCAACTGCTACAGCGGTAGCCTGTACGACGTTTCATACGCGACTGCCTCCTCAGTTCTTGGCCCGTACACGAAGAGCTCGGCACCTTTGCTCATCACCGGCTCGCCTTACGCCCAGCTGTACTCACCCGGTGGACTGGACATCAACCGTGCGGGCACTCAAGCGGTCTTCCACGCCGACTTGGATCAGAGCGCCAGCGTTCGTCAAATGTACACGGCAGCGGTCACCATCAGCGGCACGACAGTAACTATCTAAGTCACCCTTGATCTGAATAATAGGTGAGGTGCTGTCACAAAGATTCGCTAGACACATGTACTGATCATCTTACGCAGCCAAGAATGCCCATACTATTACCAGTACTCCTACGTTACCGTATCGCGGATCTCTGACGTTCCTTACACTTGTACATGTCTTTTCGGGCCTTACGCATATTTATATATTTCCTCGGCAAACATACGTGCAGGCGCGAGGAAACCATAGCCGTAGTCCCAAAGCCAACTCAAAGAGTTGCCAGAGTGCTGTCAGTCGGGAATAGACTCTTACCGTCGTGTCATTCCGTTCTAGACGAGCGAATCACGGTAAATACCGCATCGAGGTGCAAAAAGACTAGCATGAGATTCCGGAATGTACGCAGAACAACATCTAAACCCATACATGACAAGGACAGATAGATACTCGAAAGACCAGGGACAAGAGGAATAGTATGTGGCAGGACACGAGGTGATAATTTAAGAGGGAGGACTGTAAGATGAATTAATCAGCTAGATTCGAGAGAAAGCGGAGTAAGGAGACGTACACAGGGGCGACCGAGGTCGACGGGCCGGGGTCAGTGGCGAGAGTGGGGAACGCAGAGGTCGCGCAGGCCTGCTCGACGTCGGCCTTCGAGAGACCAGCCGGGAACGTCGCGGCCTTGGTGAACGTCTTGGGAACGGGGATGACGTCAGAGCAGTCGACCATCTTGCTGGTGTCCTGGCCGAGCACGGCAAGCTTGGCCATCGCGGCGGAGAACGAGGTCATCATGTGTTGCTGGTTGTTGACGTTCGCCTGCCAGAGGCATGCAGTGCGCGAGTCGCGAGCGAGCTCAGAGTCGGACTGCAGCCGAATCTCGCCACGGAGCGGGGATTGTACCTCGCCCTGGTTCGCGCCGTTACCGGGGAAGAGCGTGCCGCGGAGCTGAGTCTCGACGAAGAACTGGGTGTCGAAGGTGCCGGGCGTGCTGTCGAAGGGGGTACCGGGGATGGTCGGGTCGACAAGGTCGGCGGCCGCAACGGTATGCGAAGCGAGGAGAGCGACGACTTCGGCGGGAGTGAAGCCGCCGGCGTCTGCAAAGCGAGCGAGAATGCTGTCGACGGTGTCAAAAGGCTCGGGAACGGTCAAGTCCTGTGCCGGTGCAGTGGCGTTCTTGCGACCGAGGAGGAACGGAATACGGGGAGCGCCAGGGCAGTTGGAGACACCGACCGCTCCCGCGAACTGGATGAAGTCGCCGACGGAGATCTCCGGGTGCGCCTGGACAAATGGCGTCTGGGCGTCTACAATGTCGTCGATACCGCCGTTTGCGTGGAATGCCGTTTCAGTCGACGCGAAGATGATCATGGATCCATCGGCACCGCCACTATTGATGTTCTAAGACCAAGAGAACATCCAGATAAAGAGTGTGCTTACCCGACGGCCGGGTTGCCCCGAGACACACCGATAGCGTCGTGGAACGTCAGACGAAGAGACTCGTGAACCTCCTCACCACACTCGCCACCGTCGAACAGGTTCGTCTGGATGTCTTCGAGGATGGGGAAGAGAACACAGCATGCCTCGTTGGCGGTGATGTTGCCGTCGGCGCAGGTAACGCGCTTGGTGACGGCAGCTACGAATGTCATCAGATGAATTGTTCATAGACAGGGAGGAACGTTTGAACGCTCACCACTGGCGGCAGTGGCGAGAGCAACGATGGACGCAAGCTTGACGAAAGACATTGTCGGCGTCTGGGGGATGGCCAGGTAGTGAGAGAGGTAGGCGACGAAGACCGTTGAAGCCTGGTCTTTCTCGTCCTACACCCTCTAGCCTTTATACGAACGGAGCAACACCTAAAGACCAGAGCGACTTCACAACAGCGACGTGAAGTCTGCGTATGCGCGGGAAAGCTATGGTATGAAAGTAGCAACGCCAAGCCGAACGGCAGGTTCCTGCGACCAATGAGCGAAAAGCCATTCTCCCTTGTGCGGGTACCCAATGGGCTCGATGTCCCGCTGTAGCGAGCTGGAGATCCAGTACAACGGGAGAAGGAGAGCCTGTATAGGCCCTTTAGGCGAGCGTGAGTGAGATACGGCAAGGAGAGCTGTGAGGCTGTCGCGCGCTCATGGGAGAAGACGTAACTTTGTCACACAAGTACAGGGTCAATGCGAGCAGTCCAGACTTGTTTGGCGACCCACGTGTTGGTGATCGTAGACCTATCGAAATAGTGTATCAGTTTGATAGGTCACGTTGGGCGCTGTACATCGCGGCTATCGGTGCGCACAATGGTTTTGAAGGCGAAGGCGAATGTAGGAAGATCACGGAAGGGAGTAGGGCGTATGAGTACGAGCGCATCATACTCTCTTCACAAAGGACGGCGACAGATGCTGTAGTTGTGATGGACAGCACATGCTGACGACAGGAGACCGTGGGCTTGCTTTGGCAGGAACATCTTTAGAAACACGATGCTCGGGAGAACGTGTTGGTAAATGAAAGCCAGTGTGGGAGACTGGACCTCAGGCGCCTAGCGAGGTCCGAGCAGGATCCAGAGGCGAATTCTCAGGCACGAATACGCGGTAAGTTGATTGGCGTACGGGCGTGAGTGCCTGAGGTGGAAGGTCGTATGTGAGCCTTCATTTTGAGTAACGTGAGATTCATAGTAGGATTGGGATGTCTCTCTGAGGGGGTCTGTGCCGAGAGGTATCTGAAGATGGGGTTCGTACTCGTATAGCGTGGGGCCGTCGATGCAACTGTGAGAAAGACAATACTTGCATATCCACTCGGGCAGCCGCAGGCAGATCGTACATACTGCAGTGTAGCAGATCACCACCGGCGTCTAGTATCATATAGCCAATAAGATTGGCGAACATCTCAAAGCGTAGGTTAAGATGAGGGAGGAAAGCAAGTCGTGATGGTCAGTCGGATATTAGGCAACGTCATCGAATAACGCGCGTCAGGGGCATCCGGAATTATCGGACCGGCTGCTTGGACGCGGCGTCGCGCGACTTGCCTGCTACAACGACCCCACGACCACGCGATGCCTCTACCCTTATAACGCTCCACGACCAAATGAAAAAAAACAAAAGCATAGAGCTGTATCCTGGTACAATGTGTTCTGAATATAATACACTTGACTAAACGCCGAGATGCACGAACGGGACCCAACGCATAAAGTTACTTTCCCCGACATTCTCCCGCAAGGCCTGCGTCGCCGCATGCAGTGCGTACGCTGCACCGGTCTCACCCATCCTCAACTCTCCGCGGCTCCGAGCCTTTATCAGCTCTCTGTAGAACATTTGGACGACGACTGGTGCGTCATCATCCAGAATGGACCAAGTCGTGCCGATGACAGCCTTGAACCCAACCGCGAGCATACCGGCGGCGAGATGCACGGATTCCTCGGGAATCCTCAGATGGCCGAGAGCGGTCTGGCACGCAGAGAGGAATGCTAATTCAGCATTTT